CCCTCCCTTTTTTTTTTTTTTTGTATGAAGAGGTATCTCTGAGAGGCAACCAAATGCTAATTGGCTTTCCCTCCATGAATTTCAGGGATTCCCCTGTGTTCTCCCCATAAAATAACTTTCTGCAATATAAGTCTCAGTTCTAGGCTTCCTTTAACCTTTCAGTTAATAAAAGAGAAGTCAAGAGATACAATAATCAAAACCATAATATATTCATACTTGCTTTGACTGGCTTCCAAAATTGATTCTTGAATGGCGAGAATCGTTTCGTTCCAATTCCAGGACACAATTTCTAATATACTTAGAACATAATTTAACTTTGGAAAAGTAAAATTGGTGTGTGGAAATGGAGTCCCCTATCTGAACAAGAGTTAATCTAACACTCTTAATCTGCCTATATGTGTCCCCATGATTTTTAAAGTTGCCATTTCACTCTTCATTTCTTAAGTATGGCATTTGTAAATGTAGACATTGATTTCATGTTTTTGACTATTACCTGCTATATTTTAGACAAACAATTTTTTCTAAAAAAATTACTTCTTGTTCTCTACGTCTTAGTAGTATCTAGCACTGCAATAGTTAAGTTTGTGTGTCACCTTGGCTGGGCCCGGTCAAGTGGCTGGACAGCTGGATGTAGTTATTCCCCATGGTGAGACTGGTGATGAACTGCGTGGTGAAATCTATTGGAGCAGCTGAGTAGCTGCTTTAGGGATGTGAACTGCTTCCAGTATACAAGAAGCAACTTTGAGAAAGCTCTCCAGCCGATGGCACTTTTGAACCCTGCAAGTATCCAATTCATTGTTCAGCAGCCTGCTATGTTGTCCTGGTGATCTTGGGACTTTTAATTGGCTTAAATTAATGGCCTGCCATGTGGTTAGGTAATATTGGGTCTGTGCCTTTTCACTTGCAGAACTTGGGTTTGTCTGCCTCAGCAACTTAGAGCTGCCTGAGTGAAGAGATGCCTCTAGCTTCAATGGGCTGGAAACAAGAGGCAGAGCTCAAGCCCAAGTTCAAGGGGCTTTCACCCAGTCCCTAGAGGCTGGCACCTGGAACTGGACTTCTAACCTCCAAAATTGTGAGAGAATAAATTCC